GAAGCCTGCCAAGCTGAGGCCAGCAGACAGAGATGAGGCAGGGAATCCTGTCCAAGAGGCAGGAAATACCCACATTTCAGGTTAGGGATGGGGTGTGTAGTGAGGAGCAGGGTCACCAGGAGGGCAAGAAGCAAGGAAAAACAGCAGGACAGAGAGAAGGGAGCCCAGGGTGGGGGTGAGGTAGGAGGAGGCTTTCCATCTGGGGCTGCTGCCTGCGCTGGGTACAAACCTTTCTCCAATAAAGTAAGTGACATTCCAGCCATGTGAGCTCATGCTTGGGGCCTTGGGGTGGGGGGCTCTTGGCTGGGGTTGCGGGGTTGTCTGCCTCCCACCTGCAGAGAAAGGGCCCCCACAAGAATCTGAGCCCCTTGGCCCGGGGCCCAGCCCAGTGCATGGTGCAGGGAAGGGTGAGGGCCAGCATTCCAAAGACACAGCAGCTCTCCAGGATGCTCCTGGGCTGGTTCCAACTCTGGGCCCCCAGCCAGGCAGAGTGGACAAGGTAGGGGGGCCGGCAGATGGGGTATTTCCACAGGGTGGGAGAGGCAAACAGGCTAGCGAGAAGGAGAGGCTGCGGGCTGGCCCAGGCCAGCCTCCTGTGACATCTAGCTGAGATGTTTTTTCTCTTGGCCTGAGGTAGGGGGTCAGGGTTTACTTTATGGTCTCAGCAAAGCAGGTGTGGGGCAGGCCTTCGGAAGGCTAGGGGAATTTTCAGTTTGTCAGAATTGAAGGAGGAGGGAGTAAAGTCTGAATTCTGCAGGGAGTGGGGAGCAGCAAGAAACGAGGCTGTAAGGAGGCCTGAGCCTGGCTACCTAATGCTCCCCCAGCCAATGTCTTCAGGACCCCATTGTCCTCCCCACTCCGAGGAAGCCTTCCCGCTGTGACAAAGGAGGGAGGGCCAGAGGAAGAGTCCAGTAGCCTTGGGCAAGTCAGGGTACCTTCCTGGGACCCCTCGTTTCATTCCTCTGGAGGATGAGGTGTGCCCCTAGCAGGCTATGTCCAATGGCCGTTGTCAGAACCAAAACCGTCCCGAGTTTGGGAACATATTTGCCTGCATGTTCTCACCCCCACATCCATCCACACCTACCATGACCAGTGGGGAGCCTGCTGCCCCCTGCCCCCTGTGCTCTCCTTCGCCAGCCAGCTCCACATCCCACCTGCTCCCTCAGCCCTACTCTCCTTCTTGACCAGGTCTCGAAGCTAGACATGGGGCTGGTGGCCTTGGAGGCTGAAGGGCAGCGGCTCCTGCTCGAGCTGGAGAAGAACCAGTGAGTACCAGGCAGGGGAGGGGGCTGGGAGCCGAAAGCAGCTCCCGCTCTCTGGAGGGGATCAGTGCTGGGGGCAGGGATGGAGGGGAACCCCCAAGGCAGGCTGGATGGGGCGAAGGCTCCAGACGAAGAGGTACGGGAATTGTCCTGCCAGCCCATGACTGGCTCCCTCAAGGCTGGAGTAGACTGCTAAGCCTGGGTCAGCCCTGCTGTGGGGCACACCCTTCATTCCAGCCCCGGGATTATCTCGTTAGCTTCCTGCCAGAAATGAATGAGCATCACCTAGTGGGTGCTCACAGGGTGTGCTGAGTCCAAAGAGAATCCAAAATGGATTCCAAAGATGGGCAGGTGCTCGGGGCTGAGGTGAGGTGTGGCCTTTGTAGGTCAAGACTCCTTCAGGAGGCAGGCATTTGTCTGGCCTGCCTGGAGGGTCTCCATCTACGGGGAATGGAGCAGTGGGAAATGAATTCGGGGAGTCCCAGTAAAGCCAGATCACAGAGGCCTTTTTTTTTTTTTTTTAAATTAGAGTGAGAGTGAGAGCGAGAGCGCGTGCGTGTGTGCAAGAGAGAGAGAGAGAGAGAGAGCAGGGAAGAGGGGCAGAGGGAGCGGGAGGGAGAGAATCTCAAGCAAGCTCCATGCTCAGTGTGGAGCCCATTGTGGGGCTGGATCCCACGACCCTGGGATCACAACCTGAGCTGAAATCAAGACTCAGAAGCTCAACCAACTGAGCCCCGCAGGCGGCCCCACAGAGGCCATTGTAAGGCTGAGTGTCTTTGCAAAGCCAAAGATTCTGAGCTGGTGAATGAGTAGGCAGTGTGGGGCTGGGTGGGGTGGGTGTCCATGATGGAGTGTGGGGTCTGGAAACCATCCAGATGGAATTATCAACAGCCATCGTTTGTCGAGGGCTCGCTTCATTGAAGACACTGTTCCAAGCACTCTACACATGTTGGCTTCTCCCCCGTGGAGCCAGATGGACCAGGAACAGTATCTAGTTCCACCACACAGAACCATAGTTCCTCTGAGGTTCAGTGTCCCCACACATGAGAGGGGGTGACCACAGCACCTGCTCTTTGGGTTGAGTCTGTGCGTGGAGTGGGGGCGGGGGGCAAAGCTGGAGAAGGTGGAGGAAAGACTAGGAGGTGGAGAAGCAGGCACCACAGGTCTTTGGAGTGGTCTGGCAGTAAAGAGGTCAAGGCGAGGTGGGGATGGAGAATTTTCTTTACAGAAGAGACATTAGCTCACAGTTGATCCACCTTGGTGGGAAGGAGCCCGGAAAGATGGAGAAGGAAGGTGAGATCGTTAATGGAGTGGGGTCTGAAGAAGATGGGGATGGGGCTCCCTGCTCAGGTGGGCAGGCAGGAGCAGCTGTGGACAGGTGGGGATTCTCTTTTCTCCGGAAGCATGGGGTGAGCATCACTGAAGGACAGCTGGGGAGAAACGTGGGGTCTGGGGGCCAGAGAACAGAGGCCTGACAAGGCTGGGCATCGGGCAGGGCCACCCAGGGAGTTTACTGCCCTTCCTTGGCTCCAGGCCCCACCTCCTCATCAATGTCTCCTGAATCCTCCCTCCCCAAACCTGTGGAAGGAGCTGCCCACCATAGACTCCACAGGGACCACAAACTGTTTCTCCATTCCTGCTCCTCCCTGCTGCTTCCCACACACCCACTTCCCACACCTCAGTCCTCACCAAGGCTCCTTCCTGCACCCCGCCCAACCTTTCTTCCTCCAGCCCAAGGTCTTTCTGAGCTGAGCAGCACACAGTCGCTCCTGTCCCTTCCCTCAGATACATTTGGGTGCTTCTCCAGGGCTAGCCCTATGCCTCACTCATGGAGCTGCTCAATTAGCATTCAGGGAGGAAGGCTGGAGGGCATCCTGGAGGAGGCCTGGCTGAATTAGGTGACCCTTATAACACCCCCTCCCAGCAGGCTGCTGGCCCCGGGATACACAGAAACCCACTATACCCCAGATGGGCAGCCAGTGGTGCTGGTCCCCGACCACACGGTGAGATACTTCCATGGGCTCTGAGCACAGGGTAAGGGATGCTGGGGGGGTGCACTCCCTGAGGACCTCTCCACCGTTCCTTTCCCATTCGCCTCCTCTTTTTAAAGAGAGGCTGGAGCCAGCCCCCCCTCCCACCAGCCCCTCCCAGTTCAGCACTGGCTGAGATTTGGGGCTGGGTCCCTTGCTCTCCAGGACCACTGCCATTACCATGGACGTGTGAGGGGCTTCCCTGACTCCTGGGTAGTCTTCAGCACCTGCTCTGGGATGAGGTGAGGAGTTCTGGGGGAGGGGGCTGGGCCTGGGACTGGAGAAAGAGTCCCCTCACACCCCCCTCTGCACTCTTCCGAACTCTAGGGGCCTGATCACACTGGGCAGCAATGCCAGTTATTATGTGCATCCACGGTCAGCTGGAGACTCCGAGGACTTCATCACTCACAAGATGTTCCCAACCAGGCAGCTGTTCAGCTGGAAAGGGGCCTGCGGCCACAGGGATGCCGGGAGCAAAGGGGACAAGGCCAGCCTTTCTCGTGCCACTCAGATCAAGGTCAGGGGCACAGATAGGGGTGGGAGTGGAAATGGAGTATCCATAGCCCTGAAAATCGGAAAAGACAGGAATACACAGCCCCAGTTCAGGGCCTCCTATCCTGATATTTTTATTTGGAGGCTGAAGAAACAAGTTCCAGCAATTTTTAAAGTTAACTTTGTGCTTCCTGGGAATTGGGGTTGGCAGCCTGCCACTCAGGGTCACCATTGCCTCATCCCAGGAGAGGAGGGAGGTCCGCAGGAGCCCAAGGTTCTTGGAGCTGTACATAGTGGCTGACCACACACTGGTGAGCAGAGGCCCCAGGGGGGTGGTGAGGTGGGATGGGGCCAGCTCAGCCTGCCAGGAACTCTTCTGTATGTCTTTCCAGTTCTTGACCCAGCACAGGAACTTGAACCACACCAAACAGCGACTCCTGGAGGTGGCCAACTACGTAGACCAGGTTGGGGTTGGCGGGAAGAGAGTCCTAATGGGGGTGACTGTGACATGGGCTGGCAAGTCCTGGCAGGAGGTGGCAGGGTTGGAGATGAGCACAGACTATGGAGCGGAGAGGAGAGGGCGCCCCTGGGGAAGAGCACAGGCACTGTGGCACATCTTGTTCCCCAGGTCAGCCTGGTCCCGTCCACAGATTCTCAGGACTCTGGATATTCAGGTGGCACTGACTGGCCTGGAAGTGTGGACAGAGCAAGACCGGAGCCATATCACGTCAGACGCCAATGCGACGCTCTGGGCCTTCCTGCAGTGGCGCCGAGGGCTGTGGGCACGGTGGCCACACGACTCCACGCAGCTGCTCACGTGGGTCCCCTCCTACGCCCAAGTGGGTCCCCGTCTGGGCAGCCCAGAATCCTGGCCCCACCGGGTCACGCTGCGTTCTGCCTTCAGGGGCCGCGCCTTCCAGGGCGCCACTGTGGGCCTGGCGCCCATCGAGGGCATGTGTCGCGCTGAGAGTTCAGGAGGCGTGAGCACGGTGAGCTCCACCCGGGACAGGAGGGGGCGGAGAGGGACAGGGTAGGAGGCATCCCCGCAGCCCCCAGTGACGCAGTGACCGTCCCTACGCCCTCCCAGGATCACTCAGAGCTTCCCATTGGCGCAGCAGCCACCATGGCCCACGAGATAGGTCACAGCCTTGGCCTCAGCCACGACCCTGACGGCTGCTGCGTGGAGGCGGCGGCTGAGCAAGGCGGCTGCGTCATGGCCGCGGCCACCGGGTACAGACGCCGAGGTCGGGGGCGGGGGGCGGCAGGAGTTCCGGGGGAGGCTCCGCTAGACCAGGGGACCTTCCTCAGCTGCCTTTCTTTGGGAGAAATGGTTATCCCTCGATTTCCTCTTCCGTAAAATAGAGATAGTGGTCATAGCACCCACCCCGAGACTTCTTTATGAGGCTTAAAGGGAGGAAACGCAGAAGTGGATTCTCAAAAGTACGGAGCTTTTCAGAACATCCTAACAAGGATTCTCCAACCCCGGGAGTAACGGCGCTAGGTCGCGATTTGACCTTGAATGCCGGGCTGCCTGGTCCTGGCGTGACACCCTCCCGTCTCGGGCTCGCCGTGTGACTATGTACAGTTTACTTGCCCTCTTTGGCCTCCGCGTGTGGAGGATCCCGGCTGCCTGCTGCTTAGGCGGTTTCTGCGCATCCAGGGGCTGTGTGGCCAAGCACAGGGAGTAGTGGCGGGAGGGGGTCGCAGACGAGCAGGGGATTGAGGGGGGCGGTCCCCGCACGCCCGACGTCCTTCCCCCTCCTGTAGGCACCCGTTCCCACGCGTATTCAGCCCCTGCAGCCGGCGCCAGCTGCGCGCCTTCTTCCGCAAGGGGGGCGGTGCGTGTCTTTCCAACGCGCCGGACTCCAGGGTCCTCGTGCCTCGGGCGCGCTGCGGGAACGGCCTCGTGGAGGACGGCGAGGAGTGTGACTGCGGCCCCAGCCAGGTCAGGTCCGCGCTCCCGGTCCCCGGGGGCCGAGGCTGGCGCCCCGCTCGCCCCCTCCCCCGGGGTCTGGGTCGCTGCGCCCTCATCTGGTCCTACACCCTCTCTCCGGCTCCAGGAGTGCCCGGACGCCTGCTGCCTCGCCCACAACTGCTCGCTGCGTGCAGGAGCCCAGTGCACACGCGGGGACTGCTGCGCGCGCTGCCTGGTGAGGGCGTGGGAGGCTCGGGGTGAGGGTTAGGGGGCGCTCGGGAGCCGGCTGTTGGTCTTGGCTGATTGGCGCCCTCTGGTGCCCCTGCTGGTGCTGGCTCTGCTCTGCGCGCGGGCCCGCCTGGCCTCACCTGGCCCTCCAGCCTCTGAGCCGCTGTATCGGCGTGGATCTCTCAATGTCCATTGTCTCGCTGTCCCTCGGCCGCCCTCCCTCCACCCGGTCCCCTGCGTAGCTGAAGCCGGCTGGCGTGCTGTGCCGCCGAGCTGCTAGCGACTGTGACCTCCCAGAGTTCTGCACGGGCACCTCCCCCTACTGCCCCCCGGACACTTTCCTACTAGACGGCTCTTCCTGCGCCAGCGGCCGGGGCTACTGCCGGGATGGCGCGTGTCCTACACTGGAGCAGCAGTGCCAGCAGCTCTGGGGGCCTGGTGAGACTACCCGAGTACCGCTGGCCCCATCCTCGGGAATGCACCGTTTTCTACGCAGGGGAAGAAAGGGGGGGTGGGGTGGGGGTGGGGACTGAAGCCAGTGCGGTCCGCCCATGCTTCCTCAGGCTCCAGCCCAGCCCCGGAGGCCTGTTTCCAGACTGTGAACTCAGCAGGAGACGCCCATGGAAACTGTGGCCAGGACCGCAAGGGTGGCTTCGTGCCTTGTGCGCAGAGGTGGGGAGTGGGGCGGAGTTAGGGGGAGCGGGGTGGTGCACTGGGGCAAGAGGGACGCTCTGGACATGCGGTCACCCTCCACTTTCGTCCCCAGGGATGCACAGTGTGGGAAGCTGCAGTGTCTGGGTGGGGAGCAGCGCCCACTGGCACCACACACGGTACCGGTGGACTCCACGGTTGGACTAGGCAGCAGCGAGGTGACCTGCAGGGGAGTCTTCCTGCTGCCTGGTGTCCAGCTAGACCTGCATGACGTGGGCCTGGTAGAGCCAGGCACCCAGTGTGGCCCTAGAATGGTGAGCCCTGTGAGCCCTGCACACCAAACCCTTCCCTAATGCTTGAGTCCTGTAGGCCAAAACGTCACTCCCCCTCACTGCCTGGTGCACACACCACCCATAGGTGTGCCAGGACGGGAGCTGCCAAAACACTACCTTCTGGGAGCTGGAGCGATGCCTGACAGCCTGCCATGGCCATGGAGTGAGTGGCCGGAAAGGTGATGAGGGGGTGGCCTTGGACTTCCTGATCCCACGGGGCCTTCCTTCTCTCTTCCCCTCTGTAGGTTTGCAACAGTAACCATAACTGCCACTGTGCTCCGGGCTGGGCTCCGCCGTCCTGCAACAAGCCAGGGTTTGGTGGCAGTGTGGACAGCGGTCCTATACAGCCTGAAAGTGTGTCCAGGGAGGGAGGGGGTGCGGGGAGGGGCTGAGGCGGGGCACATGCTGAGGACGCAGCCTTACCCTGTTGTCCACAGACCACAAGGCATTCCTGCTGGTGGTGATCCTTAGCTTTCTGCTGCCTCTGCTCCCCGGGGCCAGTCTGGCCTGGTGCTGCTACCGACAGCCGGGATCCCGTCTCCAGCAATGCCTCTGCGGCTCAAGGAGGGGTCCTGCATGCACTGGGTAGGCTCTGAGCCCACTCCTGTGGTTGCTGCTCTGCAGAACTCTGCTGGACCTGGGAGAGCTGGGGTGGGGTCCTCAGACCTTCCCCCCAGGAGCAGAGGGATGGGCAGAAGCAAGTGGGAAGAAGCCCTGAGCAGGAGGCCACAATGGCCTCTGTTGGAGTCAATGATGTGGACCCCTGTGAGGCCCTCTTCCCCTCCCCGTTAATGTGGTTCAGCCCCCCCCCACCTGTTGTGTTTCTCCCACGAGGGGGCTGCCTCATCCTAGACTGCCATTGTTCTGCCAGCTAAGAATGCAGTTCTTGCTCCACTGTGCCCTTCCAGACTTTCCTAGCCTCTCATGAGTTGTCAGCCCCCTTTCCCACTTCCTCTGCCTAAATCTTTTCTGTACACCTTTAAAGTCCCCAGATGCTGGACCCAGCACACCCTTTTTACTCCTTACCGCTGGTTAGTTATGGCACTGGCTGCCCTTGTGCCAAGGGCCTGTCCCTAACCCAGTTCTCCATGACCTGGGAGGAGAATCACATAATACCTAAGCATGGTTGACCTAGGGCTGGCCCCTTCAGTGGGGTGCTGGGCAAGGGAGGCACCCCATGGCACATCTGACACTCCCTGGACTTGGGAGTGCTCTGGGCAAGCTGCCAGAAGGGGCAGGGTTTGGGCTAGAGATTGGGGCAGAGGGCATCCCAGACAGGGGCAGGGCACCAGCCAGGTCCCAGGTTCCGAGACGGGCTTTGACACAATGAGCAGTGATTGCAGGTCAATGGGGGAGGAGCAAGGTGGTCAGAGTTTGGTGTGTCAGCATAAGGGGGTCTAGAGACGGGGCAGGGTGGGGGACAACTGCATATCAGCACTAAAGCAGAATCTTATGGACGACGGAGACTGTTTCAGAGAGATAGCAAAGGAAGTGGCAAGGCGCTGGGCAATGGGGCATGAGCAGCCAAGCATGGCTTGGAGCCATTGAGGGCAGCAGGGCTACCCAGTGACAAGGGGCGCAGGCATGGCTGCGCCTGGGGGAGGAAGTCCACCCCGCTTTGGAACCTGAGTGATGCCAATATCTGGGTGGTGCCAGGGTGCTGGGGTGATGGCAGAGCTTGGGAGAAATGTCAGGGCTAGAGAGAAGTGCCGGTGGTTCTGGGGAGGCAGGAGCCTGGGCCCAGGGGCCTCTCTCAGGAGGGAGCAGGAAGGGACCTGGAGGGAGTGACATGGAGCAGAAGGGTAGAGACTCATTCAAGCAGAACTCAGGCTGTGCGCACCTGCTCAGGACCACTGTTCTGACCTCCTGCCCTCTTATCCCGAGGCTTAGGCCCAAAGATGGCCCACACCAGGACCCTCCCCCTAGGAGCGTTCACAGCATGGAGTCAGGCCCAGCAGCCACTGAAGAGCCCGGACTCTGGGGTGAGTGAAGCACGGTAGGAGATGGGGAGGGAGGTGAGGGTGGGCTCTTGCCTTCTGCCTCCTTCTAGACGCCCCCCCTCCCCTTCGTTTATCTCCCAGTTACCTTGAGGCCCCTGTCCCCACCCTGCTCCAGAGACTTCTGCCTGTGGTCACAACATTTGTCCTCCACCCATTGCTCCAGACCTTAAAAACTCTGCCAGAGCCCAAGAGCCACCTTGAGAAGCCTCTGTCCTGTTGCCTTGCCTGCAACCCCAAGGTAGGTAGAGACCCTCCCCACCTCACCCACCCATCTCTGTTGTCCCTCATCTGCCCTCCCCTACTGAGGTTTTTGAGCGTTATTATGCAAAGGAGATGTGACCTTGTGAAAAGCTACTGTCATGGAGACCAGAAGCTGGCAGTCCCTAGGGTGGGAGAGAGAGAAGTTGTATCTCTTTCTGGGTCATCGGTCCTCACTGAGGGAGCAAAAGGGATCCCAGCCCTCAGGGGTGACCTCTCCTCTTCATTTGCAGCAGGTCAAGTCTAGAAGCCAAGATCCTGTCTCTGGTGAGAGGGGCTCCTGAGATGAGGATACTTACAGACAGGCGACTGCTGACAGCCACCACAAGAACTTGGTCTCCCAGGGGCAGAGCCAGTGAATCACACTTCCTGCACTTTTGCAGCCTGCAAGTTTCTTCCCTGAGTCGAGCTCTGCCCCCACCCACTTCAGGACCCCGGAGCCTTATCAGAAGATGCCCAATGCTGCCCCATTCCCTATGGCTGGGGGGATCCTGGTAGGGTATATATTCCAGCCCAAGAATCTATCAGTCCAAGGAGCAAAGGTCATGTAGTCACTGACGTCCTGTCACCAGGGGAGGCTGGGTCATTCTGGGCATTGGGAGAGGTCTCTATCCAGGGAACTTGGGTGTCTCTGCATATGTATTTTACCTAGACCCAGCTCTGCAGAATCCAGTGACTGCTGGGCCAGAAGCCTGGGCTCCAGGGGCCCTACATTTCAGATTGAGTCTACTTCCCTGGAGCCTGGCCCTTGCAAAAACAAAACAAAACAATCCACAAAATCCTTGGGATCCTCCTCCCTCCCTTTTCCTGCCGTGTCCTCCAGATGCTTCCTCAGCCTCACCTCTGTTATCGGTCCTCCACCTGAGGTTTTGGAGGAGTGTGGTTCTGCTGTAGCCCTCTCACTTTGGACATTACTCAGCCTTCCCTCCATTCCATGGGAGGGGACAGTGGGAGCTGTTTTAAAAAGGATACCAAAGTAGAAGTCAGAAGAAAGATATGCTGACCTCAAGCTTCTGTGAGTCTTTTCTGTATGTAAATTCATCCCCATTGGGGCTCCCTGAGGGTCCCAAGGGGTGGTGGCTGGTGGGTGGAGCCTCAGATGGCAGCTGTGGCCCCAGATGTACCTGGGCATAGGACAGTGTTGCCTAGCTTGAATGATCCCTTTGCCCTGTCTATTCTGCCTCCCTTGGAAGTTCTCAGAAGTCACTTATTCTGTCCCCATTCTTCATGAAAGAATTGCTGAGTGATCTTCTGTATCAGCCAGCTGTTGCTGCATAACAAAACCACCCCCAAACACAGTAGCTTAAAATAACCAATTCTGTGAATTGGTAAATTAGGTTAAACTCAGCTGGTAGTTCATTTGGGCTCATATGTTTGCAGTCAACTTCTGGCCAGTTGGGCAATTCTGCCTCTGGGTTTGGCTACCTATTGCATAGACTGATGAGGACGAATAGACTATGTACCCATAGCTTGTTCACATGACAGCTAAGGAGGGTTCTAAAGAGCAGGACCAGGATTAGGGTAAGGCAAGTGATGCACTTGAGCACACACACAAAAGGCAATCAAGATAAATAAGATCTTAATGCAATCTTTTAAAGGATCAAAATTAAAACCAAAAAATCAATGATGAACAAAATATCAAAATTTTAACTGAACATCAGATCAGTAACAGCGTCATGCCAAGTCATGTTGGAACCTGAGGCAGAAGGAAAAATTCATAGTAGTGATCCTGTCTCATCCTAGCCCCAGCCCTGTCAGAAAGTAAGTGGAAGCTTGTGAGGCCTCTGGGAGATTCTATGACTGGCACATTTTACTTCCATAACATCCTATTGGCCCAAGCAAGTCACAGGGCCGGCCCAGGTTCCAGGGGTGGGGAGAGTAACTCTACCTCTTGCTGGCAGAGCAGCAGGATCCTGCTTCAGAGGGCATGAAGACTTGGGGAGTTTTTGCAACCAACCACTCCTTGCATTGGCAGCAGAGAAGAGGCAGCCCCAGAGGTTGAATGAGATGGTTTTCTAAAGCTGCCGTCTGTCTTAATTGTACCCATGGGATTCTGATTTATAAAGATGACCTGAGTAATGACATGGAGAGGTTAATGCCACTGAAAGAAGTTTTTATTACAAACAATTCCCAAGAGAAGGGATCATGCTATGCCATGCAGGATCACATGGGGAAGCATGAGGTTTGGCCAGGAGGCCGAAGGAGGAGTGAGGGGAGAGCCTAGGAAGGGCAAAGCACGGCTCAGGATTGGCCAGGCATGGGGTACAGGGATGGTCTTTAATCGTCAGGTACCTGGCCCTGTGGTGATTTAGGGCAGGGCAAATACTGGCTTGGTAAGAGCTAGAAAAAAGGCGGCGCTTGTGGGTATAGACTCAGAATTGGTTGGTCTGCACATGAAAGTCATATTCATAGGCAAATTTTCATTAACTCTAGGAATTAGCCAGCCCAGGAAGGGGCAGTCTCTCCCCCAAACACCAAGCTCCACCCCCCCAACCAAGATGTCAAACCATCATAAAATGCAAAAAAATAAAGAACATCATTAATACATCTCTCCACACTCTCATCCATCAGGGAGGTGTCTGGACCCCATGGGACTCCCACTCATATTTCATGTCTTAAAATGCCTAAAACTGCATGATACGGAGAAAAACCTGCATGATAAAAATTGACTGATCAAAAGCTGGATTTACCATGAAAGTGGTACTTTGAGGGAAATTTATAGCCACAGTATCTTTTATACAAAGAGAGCTAAAAGTCAGTGGGATAAAGGTCCAAGTTAAGAAGTTGGCTCAGGACTAGATGATTTCACTGATGAGTTCTACCAAACATTTAAAGGAGAATTAATGCCAATCACTTTCAAACTCTCCCAAAAAAATTCAAAGAGAAGGAAACACTCCCAAATTCATTTTAGGAAACCAGCATTGTCCTGATAACAAAGCCAGATAAGGACCATACAAGAAAACTACAAAGCAATATTCCTGATGAATACAGATGCAGAAATTCTCAACAAAATATTTAAAAAGTGAATTCAACAGCACATTAAAAGGATCATATACCATGATCATGTGGGTTTTATCTCACGTGAGATGCAAGGATGGTTTAACATATGCAAATCAATAAGTATGATATACCACATTAATAGAAAGATTAAAAAACATATCATCTCAATAGATGCAGAATAAGCATTTGACAAAGTATGGCATCCTTTGGGGCACCTGGGTGGCTCAGTCGGTTGAGCGTCCAACTTCGGCTCAGGTCATGATCTCGCGGTGTGTGAGTTCGAGCCCCGCGTCGGGCTCTGTGCTGACAGCTCAGAGCCTGGAGCCTGCTTCAGATTCTGTGTCTCCCTCTCTCTCTGCCCCTCCCCTGCTCATGCTCTGTCTCTCTCTGTCTCAAAAATAAATAGAAACATTAAAAAAAATTTTTTTAATAAAAAAAAAAACAAAGTATGGCATCCTTTCATTAAAACCCTCAGAAAATTGGGTATAGAAGGAGTAAACCTCAACATAACAAAGGCCAGATATAACAAACCCTAACATGACATCATATTCAATGGTGATTGGTTGAAATCTTTCCCTCTAAGATCAGGAACAAAATAAGGATACTTAACACCAACCACTCTCATTAAGCATAGTGCTGGAAATGCTAGTCGGAGCACTTAGAAAAAAAGGAATAAAAGGCCTCCAAATCAGACAGGGAGAAAATTATCCTTGTTTGCAGATAACATGATTTTATTTTATTTATTTTTAAAAGTTTATTTATTTTGAGAGCAGGAGAGGGGCGGGGAGAGAGAGAGAGAGAGAGACAGAGAGAGAGAATCCCAAGCCAACTCCATGCTGTCAGCACAGAGCCTAACTCAGGGCTCCATCCCACCACTGTGAGATCATGACCTGAGCCGAAATAAAGAGTCAGAGGCTTCATCAACTGAGCTATTCAGGCTCTCCAACATAATTTTATACATAGAAAATCCTAAAGATTCCACCCAAAAACTGTTAGGACTAATGAATGAATTCAGTATTACCACATTCAAAATCAACATACAAGGATCAGGTGTGTTTCTATTCACTGACAAATTATCCTTAAGAGAAATAAAACAGTCCCATTTTCAACTGCACCTAAAAAAAAAAAATACTACGGAATATATTTAACCAAGGAGATAAGAGGACTGCACAATGAAAACGACAAGACTTTCATGATGGAAGTTGAAGAAGACACAAATAAATGGAAAGATATTCTGTGTTCATCAATCAGAGAAACTATTAAAGTGTCCACCCAAAGCCATTTATAGATTAGTGCAATCCCTATCAAAATTCCAATGGTATTTCTCACAGAAATAGAAAAGATCTGAAAATTTGTACAGAACCACAAAAGACCCCAAATAGCCAAAGCAATCCTGATAAGGGTATAGACAAGGGAACACTAACATTTTTGTTAGCAACTTTTCTTCAAGTCTAAAGTGAGTTAGGGGAGCCTGGGTGGCTCAGTAGTTAAGCATGGGATTTAGGCTCAGGTCCTGATCTCACAGTCCGGTTTGTGAGTTCAAGCCCCTGCTATCAGAGGAGAGCCTGCTTCGGTTCCTCTGTCCCCTCTCTCCCTGCCCCTCCCTCACTTGGGCGCGTGTCCGTGCTCTCTCCTTCTCTCAAAAATAAATAAACTTAAAAAAAATTAAAACTACGGGCTCCTGGGTGGCTCCGTTGGTTAGGCATCCGACTGGTTCAGGTCACAATCTTGC